CAAATTCACTTAGTATTGTTCACTTGAATCTTCCCATTGATGTATGCACATATACCAATAAAAGACTGATCAATTGCAGTCCTAAACATCAATAAGAAGATTCAAACAAACAATACCAAGTTTTTAATTATGTAACTAAATGATTTTAATGATTCAAATTAGATTTCTTATAGACTATTGATCCATGCATGACGAATTATTTTTCTTTCTTTGACATTTAAACATTTTTTTCACAATAATTCCTTTTGAAGAGATCTAAAACTATACATATAAGGATTGTTTATTATTATCATAAATTTGGATCCAGTAATGCAATTGAAAACAATAATACAATTGAATGGTTAACATCCAATCTTAGTCTAACTTTAGACTATATGACTTTATAACATAAACTAACTTATCTGTAAATCTTAAAGTGTTATGAAATAATATTAAATGACTAATTTCGACATGACATTTATCAGTTTGACTATACATTAGTTAACAACTAATGCCTACGCTAGAATTTCATGTATTCTTTTCATTTATTTCAATTTTAAGCATAAATGAAATTATAGATAATAAGGAACTGTATATTAGTTATACAATTGATTAATAGTAATTCAATTGGTGTTGTTCTACTTGTATCGTTCTATCTTTGCTTGAAAAAAAGCCTGTAACTTAAGGCTATATCGAGGTAATCCGCATAGGATTCACATATGCCACTAAGAGATGATCAATTTCAGTCTTAAATAACAATGCGAAGATACAAGTAAAACAACAACAAGTGAATTTAAACTTCACACCATTGTACAAGCTCGTGTTTATCAGGACTTAGTAGCTAAGTGGATAGCGCAATGGCATTTGAAGAGAACGGTACTGGATTCCAGTCCCGGAGTGAATGTTAACTCTGAGATCCAGGTATATTCAGCTGACGAGTATCAAATAGGACGAAACGTGCATCCTAGATTCTACTGTTAACCACTTTCCATCTTTCATTAATAGTAATGTTTTGTCCCATTAGTCGCTCATCAGATATATATCTTTGTACATTCTAGTATAGATGTTTACATTGAAATTAAAATCTACTATTCGCTATGACATATATAAATTTGGTAATAACTAAGTAGCTGGATTACAATAGTTATCGATTTGTCGAATGGATGTAGTAGGTGTTACGATTTTTAAGGATGTATCTGCAACGTTGGGGAATTCAGTTAAAAAAAGATTGGTTAAATTCAAATTTTATCATCAAGATCGAGTAAATATAAACTTTTACAAGTATATAGTGACCTAGGACCAAGCTCCTTCTTTAGAGGGAAATATAAACGCATTCATAAATTTGTATGTTTATTAACTTTGACCATTAACAACTTATGTATTACAGTGCACGTTTAAATAAACCAAGGAATGATTTCCCATTATTGTTTTAATGCTTCACATAATTTTTTATATACTAAATGTGAATCGTTATAGTATTTATGAATTAACCCCTAAATTCGAAGTTCATTTACCTTTTATCCCATGCGCATAAGCAAACGTAGGTCGAGACAACCAGTATAACAGAAGCCTCTACATCACTAGGCCTCAGCATACACGAGGAAAAGACCAAGATCTTCAAATACAATGCGGCGAACATCAACCCTGTCACACATGATGGAAAAACTCTAGAAGAGGTGGAAAGATTTACGTGTCCGGGTAGCATCATCGATGAACGTCGAGGTTCTAATGCAAATGTAAGAGCAAGTGTTGGCAAAACAGTGGTAGTATTCCTACAGCTGAAAAACATTTCGTACTCAAAACAACTATCAATCAATATGAAAATCAGAATTTTCTAAACGAACGTCGAGATAGTTCTACTGTACGGAGCTGAAACGTGAAGAACTACTACAACCATCATCAAGAAGGTACAAGTATTTACAAATCGTTGTCTATGCACGATACTCAACACCCATTGGCCGGAAACCATCGGCAACAGCCTTCTATCGAAGAGGACAAACCAGTTTCCAGCTGAAGAGGAAATTAGGAAAAGACGCTGGAAATGGATAGGACATACATTACTCAAATCATCAAACTGCATCCCGAAGCAAGCGTTAACTTGGAGCCCTGAAAGGAAACGGAAAGCTGGAAGGCCGAAGAACATAGTACGTCGGGAATTTGAGGAAGATATCAAAAGGATGTATAGCGAGTGAAAAGGGTTGTCCAGGACAGAATTGGATGGAAAATGCTGGTAGGCGGCCTATGCTCCTCCACAACAGGTAACAGGCGTAAATAAGTAACTGAAATCAACTCCAGCGTTTGACAACTATTCTATCGTTCTTTGAAGCTCGTCAGTATGTCTCATATATATATTTTAAAACAAATCAAACCTTTCTAAGTACATACTGTTCTTCGAAAACAGTTGTTACCTTGTCATAGTTGTCAATTAACAGTTTCACTAATTGAGATGATATTCATTAATGGATTTTTATCAATTTCAATAACTTTCATTTAAATAAAACCATTGTTTTTCACTAATATTCATTTTTAAAAAGGTTCAAGTAAATAATATCATATCACTAGTTGACAATAAATCAACTGAAATGATGACTGAAACTATTTATAACGAAAAGAAGCTGAACAATATTATTGTGATGTGGACAGGGAAACAAGAAGCCTCGATAAACTACGGCAGCTATTTTTCGGGACGTTATTTCATTTTGTCCCTAGTCTATTCTACAGGTCATAAGCTTTCGTTTGATGGTATGACTCACTGTCATAGCCTTTTCTGTTCCAAAGCTATTGTAATTTAAACGTAATCTTTTGTACTCTATTTTCTACGCTAATCTCCAGTTTTCGACATAATTGTATTTTCCTAATTGTTGTGCGTTGTGGTCTTATTAGTCATTTATTTACTCATTTATATTTTTACACCAATCGGAAATCGGGAACCAGACCGGAATGGGGAATAAATCGTGTGGTGTTCCAGTTGACTTGTCTTATCTCATTCGCGTGCTTGTCAGCTAATCAGGTGACGGGATAAGTTTTCGTCTCTCTATCCCAAGCAGTTGTTCTTTCTTTGAACTCACGCTTACTAGCCTCAAGGTTAAGCCACTGAGTCTTAATCTAGATTAGACAAGTTATCCTCTGCACAAAAGTGGGTAGACAAATCAAGGACGTAACATACTGATTCATGATAAGAAACGAGTACCTGTTTTCTGTTTTAAAACATATAGAAATACCAAATTTCTAATTGAACAAACTATCACTATGTACTACTTTAAACGTTTATTTCAATAGTATCTCTATTTTTAATTATTTTCATTTAATTCCATTTCCCTATTATTTAGTTGAACAACATTCAGGAAATAATAATTCAAGATCAATAAATGAAAGAAATAACCAATTTAAAAAAGTCGTCCCATCAACATCTTATACTGATGCGCTTAATTTGGCTGTTGCTGCTAATACCGCATTACATGAAGCATTTAATCAGTCTATAAGTAAATTTTATTTATTTTAATTTATTGGTTTTAATTAAAATTTAAGTAATTTGTCACAATATTCAATCTCACTGGCTAATCACATCTTACTTTTACTGAGCAAACATTAAAAAAACTTTTGATTGTGATCATGAACCGATTGACGTTAGACTACCATTGGGAACCTAGAAGCACTGGATGGCCGTTTCGTACTAGTGTGAGACTAATCAGCAGTGCGTATCCATGATCCAGCTAGCTCGCGGGATTCCAATCCAGGGTCTTCAGGCTTGCGCGCGAACGCTTAACCTATAGACCGCTGAGTCGGCGTCCAATGGTGTTAATGTCTAATCTCAACCAATCCGCGAAATTGCGCTACCATCTTCCATTGTACTGAGGTAGATATCTGGAGTAGCTTTTATAATTATTGTCATTGATAATTTGTTTGTTTTTTAGTGCTTAAAATGTTTTGTTGATTAATGAAATGAATGTCTTCAGGGTATTACACTTAAGTGATTTTAAAATGATAGAGATTTTCAGCTCAAATGGTTGCGTTTGATGTTGTTGAATATTCTAATCTAGATGGTTTAATTGCAAGGCTTTCATTGTCTTTCTGGACAGTATTACTTATTCGTAAAAAGGTCAATCAGCAAGCTGCTCAGAGCTCAATCAGATAAGATAGTCAACTTGAATACAGAACAAATGAAGATAATAAAACATATGAGAATAATCAACTATAAACAAAAGCAATAGGACAAACTTATTTAAAGCTTGTAAAGAAAAATAAGAATATCACTTCCACATGAAGTAAGCTCTGATCGTGTAGTCCAGAATGACAATGAAAAGTCCATGATTAAATCATCTAGTTCAGCGAATTCAGCAAAACTAGAAGCTTTCAAGATTGTAACAAAAAGTACTCATGATAACTATTCAGTGAACTAATTTCCGATTTGAGTTTTAGTATTAATTAATAGAATTTCATTGTTTTGATCTTAATTCAAACCCTAGAACATGGCTTTTGAATTTTGTCATTTAGGTATATTTTAAAACTGACAAATATTAGGCTGTTTTATATCACTGCACTTCAACTGAACACATTCAGGCTGTTAGTCAATACTATTTTTTTGAAGTACTAAAATCAGTTATAACATCACACATAAGAAGTGAACAAAATTGTTGGTAATTAGGTCTCCATTAAGTTCTATTTTTTTCAGTAATATTTATATGCATATATATGGAAATTAATAAACCAGTCAAGGTATATAATGAGCGTTTATCTGGTTGGGACTTTTTTAGCAAGATTTTCTTTCTACGGGACGGGGTTGATGACCTCATGCTCAACCTTCCTCCTTTATCCAGGCTTGAGAATGGCAGTAACTCTAGAAGAGCTACATGAGGAGTTATACAATGAGTGTGTTACACAATTTTATTTAAATATTTGCTAAGGATCAAGTAAACATTATATCAAATAATAATAATTGTTATTATCATAAAGTTTTAAATAAACATGTTGATGATTTTCTTCAGCTTCAACAGATTCATGTCAGAAAACTAATTCAACTAATCAAAATACCCCGGTATCTTTGTAAGTTCGTTATATACATACGTAAACCAATGTGTTGTATATGTGTATTTGCAAATACTTTTTATTTGTGTTTTTATAAATATTTCTTAAGGAAATTATAATTTATGGACAACATTTGAGCAACGCTAAAATGACCTTGAAAATGTCCACCTACTCTACTAGGACTAAAATGAGAGTTATAAACTAGTGTGAGGAATTAGGATTATGAGTTAAGAATTAGTGTTATAACTTGTGACCTTGTGCCCTATTAGTATATGACTTAATGATACCGCCAATTATAGAACAGTGAATCATCGACTGGATCAATGACGTATGAAACCTGTACGAGCAGTCTAGAGTCCTTATCGGTCCTTCTCCCTACCTAACCCCGCCTCTTAAGTCCAGAACACTAATCTCAGCCTCTGCAATATGAATCATATATTTAGATATACTGGGTTTATATATCAACCAAACAGACCACATCATACCATAAAATAGAAAATAACATTGTACAAGATCTATCCAAAAGTAGCTGTGAATGTAGAAGACTGTAATTAGTAAACTGGGAATAACTTAAGAATGGTAAATCGTATAATAATAGTTCATAGGTCAAAATAAAGCCCATAATAAGATGGACATGAATATGAATAGTTTAGCTACTTAACAATTCTACAATAAAAATATGTATATACTATTTGTCCAGAAACAGATTCTGACAGTTACTAATCATTATTCTCATCGGAATATAACAATTAGATTTAGATTTTTCATCACGAACTGACATTAGCTGTAATGCCCGAAATAGTATTTAGCCAAATGATCATATGAATATTGCGCTGAAGTCCCATATTTGTTATTTTAAATCTGATTGGTTCATCCATAAATTATAGTCTAGTCCTACTTCTTTTCTTCATTTGTTACATTTTATTCTACGGATAATTTGTTTCAAAGATTGATGTAGAAGATTTTCATAAATTGAACAGTAAAGGATTATCATTAATAGATTGAATAAGTATATGAAATAAAAGTATACACATTTTTTTATTTACTTAGTCTTTAATTAAACACTCGTTGGTAGTAAACCATCATCATTTTATCCGATATAAAGATAACTTATAAATAACGGATGACTTGTAAAAGTGATTCGAAGAAAAAGATCTGCTATATAATTATTTATGTTAATCAAACTTAACAAATTAATTCTTGAAATCATGAGTCAATTGAAGTTAGACCACCGTGGAAAACTTGGGACCACTGGATGGCCGTTTGGTCCTAGTATGGGACTCCTCAGTAGTGCGCACTGACTTCAAGAGACACTCCTGGAGTTCTAGTGAGAGGCTGTGACCAGTGGAGTTCAACCAGGTCTATTGTGAGATATTAACTCACTGAAGACAATGGTGTGCGGTGGCGCAATTTAATGGATTGGTTAAAGTTAGAAATTAACACCGTTGGATATCGGCCGGCTCAGTGGTTTGATGGTTAAGCACTCGCACGCGAGACTGATAGGTTTTGGGTTTGAGTCTCGTGGGTAGCGGGATCGTGGATTTGCACTGCTGAAGATTCCCGTCACGGGACGAAACGGCAGTTCAGTGGTTTCAGATTTTCCATGGTGGTCTAGCTTCAATTGACTTATGATTTCAACTATTGAAATTTCTAAAAGTCTCCACAAAATCCCTTCTGAAAATTAATTCTTCCCGAGTTTTCTTCATTCAAACTCATTCAACGACAACATAAGAAATTTCTTTGATTCATTTCGATAGTGTAATAAGAAGACGAAAATTAACAGAGCTATGTGATATATTACCGTAATACATTTCGAACAATCTGATCAAACATATACTTGTTAAGAATCATCTATATATAAAAATAAAAGGTTAATTGAATTAGAAATTAAGGGTAAGAGGATTCGATTTCGTGAATTCCTGAACTATTCAAGTAATTGTACTAGGAGCTTCTAGGAAATTGAAATCTTCTTCTTAACTTTACTTTCAACTTCTTATCAGATGTTTTGTTTCAATGTTTGATTAAAAACAGTGTAATTATGTGATTTTTTTATTTATCTAGTTGATTTCAATGCAAGTAGATCGGTAATATGTTTGATAAAGTCCTTGTAGTGAACTACTGAAGGCTCATTAGTGAAGTGATAAATCTTGTTTTAACGTCACTAGTTGAGTAATAATACACTGAGATAGGACAAAATATCTTTATAAACACTACAGTAAGTCTTTTTAAGCTCAAATTAAGAAATAAAAATGAACTGGTTTTGGTCGAAATAGTAATAAAACTAAGGTGAGAATCATATTCCAATTATGATTCTTAAATCAAATTAATGACTACTTTTATCATTATACAGGGTTTTAGAGAATTTTGAATTCCATATTTTTTACATTGAGGATTGATCTTAGTTAGACGAGGTAGCAGTGGACAGTATTTTCATTTTGTATGCGACTCCGTATTTCACGTCAGTAACCTTATTGGGGATCAATCTCATGACCTTCAAACCTCGTAGGGTGCTACCAGGGTTTGAACTAATGAATCTGAATCTAATGCAATCACTATGTGATGTAAAACTACAAGACTACAAGAATTCAAGACTACAGTGATAAGTTGAACTGGGACAAATGTTTTTATATGTTATAAAATTAACTTGTATTTAAATCAATATTGCTGTCTTCACTGAGAAGAAAATTCAATTATTATCGTTCCATTATTTATTAAACCAATACCTTTAATTTACTGAGCTCTTTATTAAGTTGACTAGAGACATATCTAGAGATTAGATGGTGGTAGGAGGTAGTCAACAGGAAACCCTGGATCCGAGTTTCGTGCTACTTGGCACTCGTCAGCATGGTGTGCCTGTAATCTTGAGGGGACTGGTGCTCCCTGATGGATTCGATCCCGTGTCACCCAGCTTCACAGTCAGAGACGTTACCACTGAGCTATCCGGGCCGCGACCGACCTCCTGTAGGACTGAGATGTAATCACAATTGATTGATCACTGAGTGGTGATCAATGTCATGTGTGTCAAGTCCTTATTTAGTGCAGGTCGAATGCTATCAACCATGTTGCAATGTGGCCACCAGTCTAGGTGACTCGACACTGCGGCCCGGATAGCTCAGTGGTAACGTCTCTGACTGTGAAGCTGGGTGACACGGGATCGAATCCACCAGGGAGCACCAGTCCCTCAAGATTACAGGTACACCTTGCTGACGAGTGCCAAGTAGCACGAAACCCGAGTCCAGGGTTTCCTGTTGACTACCTCCAACCACCATCTAATCTCAATACATAGTGCCCGCAGTGTCGAGTCACCTAGACTGGTGGCCACATTGCAACATGGTAGATAGCATTCGACTTGCACTAAATAAGGACTTGACACACATGACATTGATCACCACCCAGTGATCAATCAATTGTGAGAGACATATCTATTGTGTCCTAATAATATCGATTCAAGAGTGAAATAGAAATACATAAGTCAAAGTATTGTGAATACTGAAAATCTCCAAAAAAGTGTAATTGTAATAATTAGCAAACTATCAGTGATAATCAAAACTGATATAAGATGAAAGTTTTATTATGATATCATGTAATTATTTAGAGATGGTTAATAATTAAGCTAAATCTATAGAATGAATAATATCTTATATTCGATATAAATCGAGATAACAGCTTGAAATTTCCCACTCATTATAATTACCTTATTCTGAATAATATTTTATTTGAAGTGAGAAGTTACATTTAAACACATAATATAATCGTAACAAAAATTGATTGATTGCCTACAAATGCCCTGGTACGGCCGAGAGTGAGGAGATCCTCTCTCCCTCTCCAAATGCTCTCACATGGCCACGCGTATATAGCCCCTGCCAGGGAAGTCCTACTCATTACCTTCACGTAGCCCAGATGTTGTTTACGAAATTGAGAAGACGAAAAGCGAAGGTCCGGAGCTTTAACCAGGCCGGTGGACACGGTGAGTCCACCTAGGGGAGTTGGGAAACCATGGTTCCAAACCAATGGTGTATATGGGCTCCAGTATCCTAAAGGAATAAATGACGTATGAACCAATCGTTGGTCACCGATTACCATGGAACTGCATCTCCTAACGATGCTCCACTGCCTTGTGAATCAGACCATCAGGTCGAAGGCTGCAGGTGTGGCTCCTTAAGAAAACCACCTGCTTCGGTTTAGGCACCTGAGCAGTATCACAACCCTCACACATATCAAATGAGATTTGTGTGGTGTATGTGTATTTGGTGCCTCCTTGTACCAATATCTATGTGTTAAAATAAATAATAAATAAATAAAATGGAAAACCTGGAAGCACTGGACGTTTGTCTCGTCCTAGTGTGGGACTCCTCAGCAGTGCACATTCACAATCTCGTCTCAAGGGATTCGAACTGAAAGCCTATCAGTCTCTCACGCGAATGCTTAACCACTAGACCACTGAGCCGGCATCCAAACGTGTTAATGTCTACCTTCAACTAATCCACGAAGTTGAGCGATATATTAGCTTATGTTAATGTATCAAAACAATTACAATTCAAAAATTTTGTAGATCAAATTAGGAAAAAAGTCACCAAAATAAACGTACTATAATGAAACAAAATGGATCAATATTAACATTCCCATGAAGAAAACCAAAATCAATCATTCCATATATATACAAGCGCAAATAAACATACTGACAGATGGGAGTGAAAAAGATCCTTCCATCTTTCTATCTAAATGTCATTTTCTCAATGACAACAGTCTCTCTGATTTTATTATATTATCTACATTTTTGTTTATATCAAATGGTTTATCTTTTTCTATCTTTTCTTCCTACTTTTCAAATTTTTCAGTTCAATCGTTCATCTTTCCTTTTTTTTCTTCTTCAGAACTAATATGATTCAACTTTTTTTCTTTTTCTTCTTGTGATTATTCTTTAAAATATCACTTTTTCACTTTTTTGTTTTTTTCTGTATATGAAATCTAGTAACAGGACAATAGTTTGTTCATTTAATTGCCATAGTGATATTCAACTATTCATTTCATTTTGAACAAGTTATATATTTCAAATAAATAATCATTTAGTTGACAACAAACTAATTAACAGTAGGGTATTTTGTTTTGTAATAATGAAAATTATGATTCCTATTTCCAAGAACTTACCTCGTAGCTGAAAATAATTGTCTTTTTTAAAAAAATAGTCGAATATTGTATATACATGAAAAATGTTTTTTGACCATCTGTTTATGTCTTTTAGAATTGGAATGCTTTATTATTTTTTTTATTGAGATCATGAACCGATTGATGTTAGACAACCTTTGGAAACCTGGAAGCACTGGACGGCCGTTTCGTTCTGTTGTGGGACTCCTCAGCAGTGCTCATCCACGATCACGGTCGCGGGATTCGAACCCACGGCCTTCGGTCTCGCCCTCGAACGCTGAGCCTACTGGACCACTGAGCCGGTATCCAATGGTGATAGTGTCTAACATCAACCAATCCACGAAATTACTTTATTATTATTATGTTTTACAGGGTGAAAATATAGTGTAGTAATAGAATCTAGGACTAGCGGATGTACCTGTATCTCAGAGTTGATGTTCACTCTAAGACTCGAACACAGTACTGTTCTCTTCAAATGTCATTCTGTTATCCATTTAGCTGTTGAGTCCTGATAACCGCTTGCTTGTTCAATGTAGTGAAGTTTTAAATTCACTTGTTTTACATGAATCTTCCCATTGATGTTTAAGACTGCAATTGGTCAGTCTCATGTTGGCATATGCGGGAAGATATAAATAAACAACACCAAGTGAATTTAATAGTGTGTTATGTTTTCTCATCACTATTCAGGGAAGGTTGTTGAAAACCCACTAAAGATTGTTTTAACTTAATTAATATAATCTATGGATAGATTTTTTATAAATTTCTCAAGGAAACTTACACTTATGTATTTCAACTTTAAATTCATGGGACAGAACAAATTTCGAAAAAACTTTATTTAGGTCAGGTAATATACGACACTTTTGAGTTCTTGATCTGCGTTTTTTTTCTTATCTATTATACTTTAGCATTTTTCTAGATCAAATGAAATTCTCTGAAACGTACAGTTACTAAGTCTAAAGTTCACAAAGTATGTTCAATTAACTCATTTATACAATGTAGTAACGTTAAGAAGAATTTGGCGAAGGTATAATTTATGAACGAACCAATCAGATTTGCGATCACAGGTCTTGATTTTGGCGCGAAATTAATCTATTCATTTGACTAAATAGAGTTTTGACATTATAACTGATGTCAGTTCGTGATGAAAACTCTATATGTAATTCCTAACCCTAACTATCAACTGTAAATATTAATCCTAATTCCTAAATTGATTTATAATCCTCATTTAGCCATAGTGTTATGGCAAACACTCTCAAGATCACTTTAGAGTCTCTCAAAGGTCATCAAAAAATAAAAGTCTCACCGAAGATTTCCTCAACAACTTTCAACTATTTAGGAATTCAGCTTCAAAAAACAACTGAATAATAAATTATATGAAAACTGGCTAGAATAGGTCCATTTAAAAAATATTTTTGGTTTTGGATTTAAAGTTATACTGAGATTAACAGTGAGCTACTGAACATGTATTAACTTTCAAACCTTTACATCGTTAGATTCATATCAGGTCTTTTTATTCATCCACTCTTTTGCCTTGATAATAACTAGAAATATTTCACAGGTTTTAATAAATATCTTGTCATGATTTTTGCCCTGTTAATTATCACGTGATAAGATCACCAATTACAATATCAACTTATATGACTTTGCCACTGTGCCAAACCAGTGACGCGTTAATCAGCACGAGCAGCCTGGAATCAACTCTGAGTCTTGATTGGTACTTCTCACCTATCCCTGCCGGTTTAAGTCCAGAACACAATCTCAGCTTTCATCGTATGAATCATGTAATTCAGACATAAGCAGTTTATATACAAACAAATCAGACGCATCATATGATGAAACAGAAAATAATAATTGTACAAGATCAAACCAAAAAGTGGCTGTGAGTGTGAGAGGCTGTAACAATTAAATTGGGAATAACTTAAGTATAGTAATTCATGTAGTAATAGTCAATGGATCAAAGTAAAGCTTATGATAAGTATATATAATCTAGTCACTTAACAGTTAGACAATAACAATTCATAAACAATTCCTAGCAGTTACCATTCATTTATTCTTCGTTAAGATTTAACATATCAACAGCCAGTTTTCATCTATGTTTAGTTGTTTTTAAATGCCTGTAAAAATAAGTTAAAATGAATTAGATATTTGGAGATGACTTCTTGGTTATCTGCAAAAATACAGTTTTAAAATATTGCATGATTATTGTTATTAAACAGAAGTTCATTGAGCATATATGAACATATGCAACTTTATTAACGTTTCATTTTTCATATTCTCAAAAGCAAACAACCGAAATTCAAAACTACCTCTTCACCGGTCAATCCAACCTCTTTAACAATAAATAATGAAAGATCTTCAGCTGAAATCAGTTTAACACCAAGTGAATCAGTAAAAACAGAACATAAAAATAATACATGTCAATGGACCAAGATTAGTAAACCATATAAAAATATCTCTCTTTCTCCAATTTCATCAATTTCACAATATAATGGAGATAAAAATTCACCAGTAGAAAAAACAAATGGACAAGAACAAATTTAAAACTGATATAACTGAACAAACATTATATTCAGATAATAAATCCAGTTCTAAATTATTAATAAGTGAAAAATCAGATGATTTAACAGAAACAAACACAGACACTAGGCGGATACCTGGACGTCTTAGATCAAGTCTTCGTCATGCTGTTACATTAAGTCCATGTCGACGTAAACCAGATGCAACTTTAGAACAATGTAATAGTCCATATCTTCAACCAAGTCCATTAGCTTTAAGTTCAGGATTTGTATCAGCTGGATCAATTGTGAATGCAGTTGAAGAGTGTACTGAAAAAATGAATAAAGATGGATTTGCAGAAACTTTACCAAAAGTAAAAACTGTTCCTCCACCAGTTGGTGTTCATGTGAGTTACTTTTAAAATGTATAAAAAAATAAAATTTTGAAATTCAAGAACTCAAGTACCTCTTAGTATATTTTGAAGTCACTAAGCAGTTCATAGTTTTTCACAGTAGACACTTTTTTATTGTCATCTATTGAGTTACAATTAAACCACAATAGTTTTCTTTATTAGTGTCGAAATGATACACAAACGATTGAGTTTATCTTTTACTAGTATCTAGCTGGCAATAATCATCTTTATTAGCGATTTAGTCATATTTACATTTAAAACATGGGTTTGACTTCTCAACTTCGAACTTATTTACTTACTCCTGTTACTCCCAATGGAGCATAGGCCGCCGACCAGCATTCTCCAACCCAATCTGTCCACCCTGCCTTCCTTTCTGGTTCTATCCGATTTTTGTTCATTCTTCTCATGTCTGTCTCCATTTCTCGGCATAATGTGTTCTTTGGCCTTTCTCTCCTTCTTTGGCCTTGAGGATTCCATGTGAAGGCTTGTCTTGTGATGCAATTGGGTGCTTTCCTCAAAGTGTGTCCTATCCACTAAATAATGAAAATTCACGGCTTACAAATGCTTTCTTTAATCACGAACATTTCAATGACAATACTTTCAAGTTGACTTATGTATGTTATTAAATGAATCTGTCATAAGCAATAAGAACTCGTATATACATTAAAGGTGATGTTTACTATACTTAAGTTATCAAATTGTATGATTAAGTCTCAGTAATATTGCTGTGAATGCAACATACACAGTAACAACTTCTTAAGCATCACAACGTATTCTCCATAAATGTGTTCTAGTGAAAATAACTATCTTACCAAATGTGAGCATTAATTAATCATCGGGTTAGTAACTAATATTATGGTTGTCGAATCATTTTTCGTTCTGATCAAAATCTTATCAATCAAGTTCAAATACACTCACCAATCTATAGGACTTGACATTATGTGCAATATATTTGATGTGGATTTTCAGTAGTCATAGTATCATTGAATAAGAAAAAGAAAATTCAACGAAGAAAATTTTCTATTCAATGATATCATTTACTTAAGCTGTACACTCGTATATATAGTTATATATGGAAAATATATGTCTATAGAAGGATAGAAACAATTGCATCACAAAAATGGATTCGAGACTAATAACAAATGAGGTTACATACTAGTCAAGGGGTAAGGAAGAAAATAATGTATGGGCCAGATAATAGTTCAATTGACAGATATGAAGAAAAAACGACAAACGTAAATGTTATAATCATATTGGATTTTGTTACGATTCATGTTTACTTTACGTGTAGATAAATTAGATCTAAATTATACCATTTTCTTCATAAAGATTGTGATATATATTTATTCAAAGTACAAAACGTCTGCTAAGTTATAAAATTTGTCCACTGAATATGGCAGAAATCAGAGTAAAACTCATTCAATCGTTATGTAATTAGAATTAGTTAATAAGTAACCCTGGAACTAAATTTCTTACTAGTTGATGCTCATCAAGAAGCTATATCTGTTGTCTTGAAAACAGTAATACTCTCTATATGACTCAAACCCGAATTATTCATCTTGGCAGTTTGAGTTATTATCACTGGGGTATTCGAACATGTGAAATTGTTCATCTTGAAGATCTTACCTAACATTTTTTTTGTGTGTAAATGTCTCTTAGAATAATCTCTTCATAACAAAACATTACCTTCTCATTGATAACCACACTAAACAACAAATAGTAAAAACAAAAACTTGATTCATATTAAATCTCATTAATTAATCCAAATAAATTATTAAAGTCATAATTATTTGTTGCATTATTTCAATAGTTAAGATCGTAAATCAATTGAAGCTAGACCAACATGGAAAACCTGGAAGCACTAGACGACCGTTTTCTATGGCAGTCTACCTTCAATTAACTCATGATCTCAACTATTGAGATTACTATAATATCTACAAAAACCCTTTCTGATATTATTACATTCTATTTAAATGGTTATATTTTTAAGATTATTTCATATAAAGTAGACATCCATGAGTCAATTAGAAGAATCCAACTTCGTTTTATTTTATTTTACAAAAAAAACTTGGTACAATGTATACATAATGAATGAATAGATTTAATTATTTCAAGCATAGAATACAAAACTAGTATGTAACTCGCGAGGTGAGTTCGTGGATGCTCACTGCTGAGGAGTCCCACAATAGGACGAAACGGCCATCCAATGCTTCCAGGTTTTCATTGGTGGTCTAGCTTGAATCGACACATGCTCTCAACTATTAAGATTACTAGAATATCCACAAAACCCCTTCTGATACGAAACAACTTTCATTTTGATTTATTTCAAATTGAAAATGATTTCATTATGAACAAAGAAAATTCATGTAATTAACCTAAAATACGGGCGTTGATTAAAGCAAAGATGGATGATAGCTAGCAATGGAATCCAAAGTGCACGTTTCACCCTATTTGGGACTCGTCAGTTGGAGGTACTTTCATCTTAGAGTTGTTGTTCACTCTGGTACTCGAATCATCCATCTTTGCTTATAAAGTTTGTGGCTTTAGACAATATCGAGGCAATCTGTACAGGATGCATATATGCTAGTAACAGACTGGTAGAAAGATACAAGCAAACAATACGAAATATAAATAATTACATGGTAATATCGTAAATTATATTCATACTTTCTTTTGGATTACTAGTCTGGGAAAAAATTTTTATGTAATATGCTAGAAGTAATAAGTAGACGATTAGTGTAATAATTGGAAGTATATAAAATTGTGAATGGTTACTAAATGGTTACTTTTCACAAGAACTATTACTAACAACTAACATTAACTTTACTGGGATAAAGTTTACATTATGATAGTAATGTTGTTTCCAGATTTAAAATGACTATAAACAACCATTTTTCAATAATAAGGGTAACCTTATTGAACGTGATAATATGATCTCCTTCACAAGCTATAAAACAGTTTGACTTTATTTCAGTGGATAATCACTACAAACAATTCAGCTAATTTGAAAATATTCAATTTTTGAAACTATTATTCTTGTATATAAATCAGTCGGCACTTTGGTAGTTAAAAAGTATGCATTAGATAACAAGGGTGTAAATTGATCTTGAAATACATACAGTTAAATTGCCTTTTGAAATATGCTTGTCAGCTAGAGAAACAAAGCAAACCACAAATCACTTAATCTCCTACTTACCCTGTTACTTCCAATGGAGCATAGGCCGCCGACCAGCATTCTACAGCACACTCTGTCCCACTCTGCCTTCCTTTCTGGTTCTATCCAATTTTTGTTCATTCTTCTCATGTCTGTCTCCATTTCTCGGCACAATGTGTTCTTTGGTCTTTCTCTCTTCCTCCTTTGGCCTTGGAGGATTCCATGTGAAGGCTTGTCTTGTGATAAAATTGGGTGCTTTCCTCAATGTGTGCCCTATTCACTTCCAGCACTTCTTCCGGATCTCATCCTACACTGGGATCTGGTTTGTTCTCTCTCATAGTAAGTTGTTGCTGATAGTGTCTGATCAGCGGATCCGAAATATTTTGCGTAGACAACTGTTAGTAAACACCTGTATCTTCTGGATGATGTCTTTCGTAGTTCTCCAGGTTTCCGCTCCATACAGTAGAACAGTTTTGACATTTGTATTGAAAATTCTGACCTTGGTGTTGGTTGACAGTTGCTTTGAGTTCCATATGTTCCTCAGTTGTAAATATGCTGCTCTTGCTTTGCCGATCCGCGCCCTCACATCTGCATCAATCCACCATGTTCATCAATGATGTTGCTCAAATACGTAAAGGTTTTTACATCTTCCTAATCTTCTCTGTCATGTGTGTTTCGATTGTTGCATGCTGTGTTGTATCGAAGAATCTTGCTTTTCTCTTTGTGTATGTTGAGACCTACTGCTACTGAGGCTGTTGCTACACTCATCGTCTTCTCCTGTATTTGTTGTTGCGCGTGCGATAGAAGAGCCAAATCGTATGCGAATTCTAGATTGTCCCACAAATCACAGGATAACCTTTTTCTTATTAGTTTGGAACCCATCGGCAATTAACACTAAATACATTCAGATTTCGAGACAAAGGTATTATCTCTACACAAAATCTAGTCAGATTTGATCAAAAACATCATCAAACTTAGTTGTTTCGTGATGACGTCGGTGATAGTTCTGAGTGTTCACTGTTGAAGAGGCCTAACATGTAAAAACCAGGCAGTATCAGCCGTAATCGTAAATTTATTTTCAAGTGGATAGTTTTCATAATTTATAATGAAATGTTTACTTAAATTATAATTAAATGAAAATCATTGACGAAACAAGCATAGAAATTAGGTAAAACATGAAACAAAAGGCAAACATTTGTAAACTAATTAACAACGATATTTAAAACTCTATTAATTAGACTATTTTTAATGGTTTAAACAGAAGAAACTAAGTCATTTAGAATGGTGTTCACTACTCAACTTAATCCATAGAACTCGGTCAACACTAAAGGATTAGACAAATATGACATTGGTTACTATTCAGTGATAAATCAATTGTCATTATTTCAGTCATGCATAAAGTTAATCGTGGATCGAAAGGTAAGTATTAACATCTCACACTAAAAACCTAGATGACATAAGTCGGCATCTTACAGAAGAACATAAATTCACTCAAGGTTATGGGTACATCTTGTTAAATGTCAATTGGCATGAAACCTAGGTCCAACGTTTCTCAAGGACTTCCTGTGGTCACCTAATATTTTAGTATAATGTATGCAATATCGAGTAATTTAGAATAATGACCAAATTGCAACTTGATCTATAGAATTTAGTCAGTACTAATTGGACTAACCAAACATGACATGAGTCAATGATAAATCAACTGTAAGTATTCTATAATTTTACATTTACAGCATCTTACTTACAGCCTAAAACAGCTTACGTTTTGTAACTATCGTAGGATATTTGTTCATTAAAATAAAATGATCATGTTAAATAATCCGGAAACAACTACATACAACATTTTAACTTTAATAGCTGAGATCACGAGTCAATTAAAGCTAGACCAACATGGAAAACGTGGAAGCACTGGACGGCTGTTCCGTCCTAGTGTGCAACTCCTCAGCAGTGCACATCCACAATCCCGCCTCGCGGGACTCGAACCCAAAACATGCCAGTCTCGCACGCGAATGTTTAACCACTAGACCACTGAGCCGGCATCCAAATGTGCTGATGTCTACCTTCAACTAATCCACGAAATTGAGTGACACATTCATCATTGTGTTCAGTTAGTTACTATCTCACAATAGACTCAGTTAAACTTTAATTTTATAAATTCTCTCTTTCAGGATTATCCTATTGTTACCAATTTAGAAAAAGATTTAAACACAATTGACAGTTTAATTAATGATACTTTAAATATTCATATCAATGATATTAATCCACAAACAAAATTAAATCAATCTGAATTATCTAATCATTCTACACAAAAATCAAATGAGCAACAACAACAACAATCTAAATTTAATAAATTATTACCATTACAAACATTACCACCATGTAAATTATTACTTGGTCGTGTAGCATCAAATGAAGATATTTGTATTGAAACTGAAACACCATTTTCATTTAATATAGCTGCAACTGATAAAGAAATTTGTATAACACGAGTAGCTTCAGTTGAAGATTTAAAATGTCAACAACAACAACAACAACAATATGATCAATTAAAAGGTAACACTAATAATAAATCAATAAAGAAAAATCATAAACGTATACCCATTAGTTTAAGATTAACATTTGGTTCTGAATCAAAACTTAATAAATCTATATTAAATTCTAATGAGAATGATCATTTAATGATTAAAAATTATCGTTCAATGTATTATGTTGATATACCACAAGGTATTAGAACAAATGAATTAAAACGTAAAACAAATCAATTAAAAAATATAAATAATAATAATAATAAACAAAATATAATACGTTATAGTTTACCATGTATTACATATTGTGAAGAATTACCAAAACCAATTTCATTATTACCACCATTAGTTATAGATAAGAATCGATGATTCTTTATATGAAATACCATTTTTCTATATCATTGTAATGATCAACTTATAAATAAATGATCTTTATTCATCGATGGATGATAACAACAACAACAACAACAACGACCGCAACAACAACAAAATGTCATACTGATAATGAAATATCTTTTTTTTCATTGAATCCTGTTGATGATGTAATCATGGTTGATTAGATGATAGTAACTGGCGTAATAAATATGAAATATTGATTTTCGAATGTAATTATTATTGCATTCAAAAACCAACAAAAAAAAATAAGAAAAGATAACCTATTACTGCTTATTGATATATAATTAAATAAGTCATACTTGCTGTATAAAGTATTTGGAAGTATATTACTTTCTTTTTTTTTAAAAAAAAAGAAAAGAAAATCAATAACCAATAGTTGATTTGTTTGGAACGATTCAATATTAAGCATGAATGAATGTACTACTAATTAAAAACCTTGTCACCCGTTTCCTTTTTTTTGTTTTTTTTTTAAATCTTTCCTACTTCAGATTTTACTTAAATTCAGATGAACTAAAATGAATTAAATTTTAATTGCTAAATCAATAAAATACCATATAATTTCCTTTTATTATTATAAATATATATGTTGCCAAGTAAACGAATGATCTTTTCTAATCGGATGTATGAAACTTGATTCTTGATTTGTGTTGTTCATTGGATAATTTCATAAATAGGACGTGTGTTTTTTTTTCTTTCCGTCACATATATTTAAGAAATAAACTTCGTTGTGGATAACAGATCGTTTATAAATATTGATACTGTGTGTTTATAACTGTAACCGCTGATTAGAGAACAGTGACTTATCGATCGGATCAATGACACGTAAAACCGTATGATCGGTCTAGAGTTCTGATTGGCCCTGCTTCCTGTTTAACCCAACCAGTTAAGTCCAGAACACAAGTCTCAGCCTCTGAGATATGAATCATTATATTTCAAACATACTCTGTTTATATACCAATCAAGCAGACTACATTATCCCATAAAATAGAAAATGGCAAGTGAAATAAATATTGACCAATAGGAAAATGATACCATCTCAAGTTCAAGGATAGCATTAAATTTAACAGAATAATTTTCGGGATATTCTTCTGAATATCCCAACACTGTGTTTAGTGATTACTAGAATGTTTAAGCGTTTAAATGCTAGAAATTACGATGAAACTTACTATATTAGAGTTATAATAAGTAATTAATTGTTGATAATACATGAAGGAATATTGTATGTTTGTTTATGAATATGTTGTTGAAAACTCGAAATGATATTAACAATGGCTAAGTAATTAAAAAGGAAATGCTTCTGAAAGTTAAGTTGGTTGTTAAAAATTGAGATTATCTGTGCTTCATATGATGGGAAACAATTCGATGAGGTATCTGAGTATAGGATAACAATTTATTCATATTGGTATCAAATCCTTAGCCTTCTGTGTAACTTCGGTTTACGTAAGTCAGTTTTTATGCATAATCCGACCAGTTCGTAGACAAAATATGTAACGAGAAAAGGATTATATAACTGTCATATGTTGTATGGTGAATTTGTATCAGAGTAACCTTTTGTGAATGAGATATTCAGTGCACTTCTTAGGTTTAGTTTCTGGATAACTACATTTTTCTCTGATAATAAGGATTATTAAGTGGAGGTCACAAAGAAGACCAGATACTAACTATAAATCACCTGAATATCGATTCTTTATCTCCTCAACACACTCTGGAATTTCAGTTGTAAATGGTTAGTGAGGTGTTGCGATTTTTTCTGAATGAGATAAATAGACTAATAGAATACTACTGGGTCTCTCCTCATCGTTCAACTCCCTAGAATGTTTAGAACTTTATTTTTTCGCACTAAATTAGTATTTCAGGAAACATGTCGGATGTAGCTTCATTATATATTGATAGCCTATCAAATGTATTTTCGAACCTCCTCACTTCTGACTTCTGATTTCACTGGGTGGGCACGATTCAATTACAAAAGGTGTTACTGACTAAAGTGTTGTCAAACTACAAATACATGTGGCATCTTCAATGAGTAATTCACACTATGATGAACCGATCCGATAATATGTTAGCCGTTCGTCAGATGGAATGTATGCATTGTTGGAGTTATCCCATGCAGGTGTAGTGGTTAAAAATCTCGAAAATGAGTAGCTTTTTAAGTCTTTGTTGATGATACTGACTTTACTAGTTTCAATGTATATATCTACAAATGAAGGTGCTCAGTTAAGCAAAGACAGTAAATCACGTTTGGATTCGCAGTACTGAATATCTCCTACGAAGACTAACTAGCTCAGATTCCAAACACTACGATATCTCAACCAATGATTCAACTACATCCTGGCGTCCCACCATCCATGACGTCTAATTTGACTAGATTTGCAACCAGGGCCTTAAAAAAGGTTAATGACAGTAGCGTTTTTAATGCCTGTGTCTGCGAGCTCTCTTCACATTTACAAATATCTAATTTACGGAAACCGACTAGATCTCATTAACCAATTGATAAGCAGGTATCCTAAAATTCATTTGAAAATGGGTGCAAAGTAACGATATATCTTTATAGTTTGTATGATTTTGCTAATAGAGAGGTAAACATACAGTGGTAGACATACAAAGGTTAGGAGCGGTATGCAATCAAAAAAATTAAATCTTAGTTATGTACAATCATGAGCTAGCACTCACTTAAAAGTGATTGAGGGGTTCGGATTTCCTAAAGAATTAAATTACAAGTGGCCCAAAAGGGAAGATGAACCACTACAATGACCATGATTTTGCATTCAGTGAACCCTATATCCCAAGTTACATAATTTACCCTGAGTCGCTTTATGGCAGCAAACACAAGTTTGTCCTCAAAAAGAGAAATGTGAGCAGTGTTTAAACTTCAACTGGGCACTTAACACCTCATATTTACAAAACTTTCATTACTTACTGAGCTATTCATCTTGAAAAATGTTGTTGTCAAGGTAAGTAATGATCGAGATATGTCACAGAAAGTCAAGCTTATAATGAAAACGGTTATTTATCTTCTAAAATTGTTACAGAATACATGCCACTTTATGGTTGTGAGCAGGTTGATACAAATTGATAGGTATTCACAATAAAATGCACATTAAAGCTTTATTTAAGCGGAAAAAAGTGAACTCTCAAGCCTTCACTTTAGACGAAGTCGATGTAGTAATTGCTGACAATAGGTGTAACAAAGACCATAGAATGTCAAGTGAAGTGATTCTATTGGTAGTTACTCACACTTCGATAAAAGACAGATTTAGCAAGCATAAAACTATCTCTGGTAGACAACAAACACAGAAATACTAAGGACGTAACATGAACAAACTAATAAGTATCTTTCGGTGTGGAAAATAAAACATACTTAACATAAACGTTGTGTAAACAGTTCGGAAGTTAAAACAAACAACCTGCTTATTGGAATCATATCACTGATCCTCAGATGTCTTTTAGACCCGAAAAAATTTGGCAGATATTAGTGTTTTATTGAGGAAAAAGCGCTAGGAGAACCTGGCAGTAGTAAAAATAAAGTATGGTCAAGATACTGACTCAGAGTTTGGTCCCTTGTAGTGGCATCGGGCCATAACCACACAATCCTCAATGCTGAACACGAGACAACTCGGAAAACAGATATTCAATATGTAACGCGGAGAGATACCTAACGATAGAGAAGGCGGGAAGAATGTATTAAATAAATTGGAGTTGATCGGATGGTATGGCTCGGCCTTGCAAGCGTGGTCCCTACTGAATGTTACCTTATATCTTCTATTCATATTAAATATATTAACCTTTCTCTAGCCCAAGCTTGTTCTCCATCATGTATTGGTAATTGCTATGACACAGTGAGTTGGTGTAGAAGATGGTATGACTTCCACATAAGATCTTATAGATTAGGCAGTTATATCATGACAAATCTACAATTTTAGGGTTAGGTCTATTATTAGAGCAGTTTTAATATCATAATAGGCCATAATTCTACACCCTAATCACTTCGGCATAAACCTGCTATAACACATTATTTACTTGCCAACTTAAGCATATTGAGGTTCATAGATATGAAGATATCTGCTAGTGGGACTTCACATTACGATTGTAGATTATATCCGGTCACGGCTCAGCATTTCGCCTGCTTACTTACACCTGTTACCCCTCGTGAGGGAGCTTAGGCCTCTCACTAGGATTCTGCGACCAAACATGTCCTGGAAAATACTTTCCAGTTGTTTCCAGTTCTTATTATTCAATTCTCATATCTGCTTCCAATTCCCAAGCAATGTGTTTCTTAGTCTTCTTGTTTTCCTTTTGCCCTGAGGACATTAAGCTAGGGTTTGCATTGTGACGCAGTTTGGTTATCTTCGCATTTCATTTCCTATCCACCTCAAGCGTCTTTTCCAAATTTCTTCTTTAATTAGAAACTGGTTTGTTCTTTCCAACAGTTGGTTACTGCTGGTGACATCCGGCCGACGAATAATGAGTATCTTACGCAGATAATTGCTGATAAATACCCTAACATTTTGATGATTGTAGTAGCTATCCAAGTTTCAGCTCCGTACAATAGAACTTTGAATGGGCGCAAACTTTGAAGGTTGTAAATTTTTACGTGGTTCTTAGTTTTATCTGTCTATAGTTTTTCATTGGGATGTTAACAGTATTCATTAGCGGAGGATACTATATCCTGACAATGTTTTCATTTATTTGACGATTCATCTTTGCACTCAACTTCATACCTTTAGCCAGTTAGATCTCACGGTACTCTCCTTTTCCCTTGATTAACGTACATGTATTTCCTCTTTAAAAATATTGGGTTCAATCTTACCTTCAAACAATCATTTGCCATGCTAAGTTCTAACGGTAGCCGTTTATCTAATACAGACCTTACTCATATTTACACCTCTTCAAATTACATCAAAGCCATCTAAAAAATATAACTTGCTTTGATGCCTACAGTGTAACGGGAGAACTGTAAATATTTGGCTGATTTAAACCTTTTTATTGTACATCAATAATTTTACGGTGCTTTTGGATGTATTTGTTTTACATAACCTTTGAACGTGTTTGTTTATATCATCATTTTCGGACATTTTGGTTTCTCTTTGTCATTGGATTGGTATTTGGGAGGTTTTGCTCCGGGAACCTACAAAATTGAAGGTTTGTTTCGTAAATGTTATAATTATTGTTGTTAGAACGACATTTGGGTCGACTATTTGTAACTTGCGAATAAAATTTGGTATCTAAATTGGAGTG